ATATATATATATATATATCAACCAATACCTGCTCTGCTTGTTGTGCTTCCAAGTGTTCTCAGTCTCTGATCACAGTCTGAAATCAAATTATTTAGTTTGAGTTTCACAGTTAAGTCTTTTTGGTAATCAATTAGACCAAACATCAGCTCTATGTGAATGTGTGGCTGATGGCTTGTCTAACACAGGTTCACACAGTGTTTCTTAGACTGGAATGAGATGTGTGATCCAGGATGAGCAGAGCGAAGATAAGGCATCCCTGCATGTCACAAACAAGTGGAGCAGCAGGAAACTCAGAGGTCAGGGCTGAACATGAAGTCCAAGGCTTGTCTTTCTGCCATGGCCACATTCGGATGCCAGAGGTCCACACTCAGAATGACTCGGGGTCCAGATTCAGAAGAACCTTTCAAAAACAGACACAGTTTTAATGAAAGGGACTTTCATTCTTTCAAGGAATGCAAAACTGTCCAAACTTTCATGGCAGAGCTTAAAGATAAGATGTTGTTATATCTAAGAAAAAAGAACATTTTTCAATTCAATTCAATTCAAAAATACTTGATTAATCCCAAAGGGAAATGAATTGTTGTTGTAGCTCATCCTGGTTTCATTAGAGTTATAGATGCTGATGGCTGTGGGCAGGAAGGATCTCTTGTCTGTCTCACGGCTGATCTGAAGAAACTGGCTGCAGATGCCGATCCGTCCACCCAGACCCAGCAGGCCTCTTAGTCCTCCTGGGCAGCCGGACTGCCTGAACGCTGGGCAGAACTCCTCCCAGAGCGATGACCATTCCTCCTAGCATCGTGCCGAGCCCCTCGTCACCATGGACAAATCTGCAGGTGCTGGAGGATGATTCTCCCACTGTCACAAGCCACATTTCCCGCTATCTCAAAGATCTTGGCGGTCAGGCACTCGAGCACCACCTCCAGGTAGATGGGAATGCATCCACGGCACCTCCTTTCCTCCACCTCCTTTTCTTCTTATGCACTATCTCATTCAATCAAAATATATCTGTTGGCACTTGGACTAAATATATTAATAATACTCAAACACTACCACTGCAAAAATATTTGCTCAACATCTGTAGAATTCACTGAGTTATGGCCATTTCTGTGTTAGCTAAAGTCAAAAACTGTGGCAGCCATCTTGAATTGGATTGATTAAAAAAAATCACTTCTAGATGTGCATCCAGTGATTCATGAGATCTTTTGATAACAAACAGGGTTTAACTCCAATAGTCACTGCCAAGGTTTTAAGCAAACATATCATGCAATGAGTTTCCCTTAATGTATTTGTTATGGACAATGCTCAGCTACTACCACACCAAGATAACACTCAATGTCTTAAAAAATGGCTGCATTTTCATCATTTTGGGATTTTCTATCATGTTCACTTCAAAAAGGAAATCATTTGTAAATGTCAATTTCTTGATTATTTTCTGAACATTTCAATAAACTGTATTGGGTGATTCATGAACTACTTTGCTATTGGTTCAGAAAACACACACATGTTATTACCTCTCACCTGGTGGCAGATTGCATTTCAACAAACATTATGCATGGACTTATTTAAATACACTCCTGCTGTTGTGGCTCTACGGACCTTTGTGGGCGATGGTGTGAAGGAATGAATCGTCAACAAGGAGGCAGTGTCCCTCCGACCAGCACTGAGGCTCACCCCCCACCACCAGCTCACACAAAGGAGGGATCTGCAGACCTGAAAAAAAAAAAGTTCAGCTTCTGTTATGTCTGCTTTTAAAACCAAGAGGATTAAAGCCAGATGGTCAATTATTAAAACAAACCACAAACGAAATTAACCTCAACCTTTTGTTAATGCATCACAAACAATTTATGTAACTTTGAGCACAATGTTCTGTCCAGTGCTGTATTTAACAAACATCCTGGTTTACGTCAGTTCTATGAAATAATTTGTTACAAGGTTCATGTGAAGTTATCCAAATGTTCATCAGATGCTGTCTTCATTGCAGAAAAGAAAAAAATCTACTGTGCAAAACAAATCTTATACAAACCAAGATGACAACGTAGGCGTGTGTTGGTGGGTCCGTACGAGCTCCCCAGTGTAGCTCCGGGCCCCAGCAGCCAAAATCCTGCCGACCCCAGTGAGTTGCTGTTGATGAACGTTCGTAAAGTAAGAAGGGTGCGGTAGGTGCAGGGACAGGAGCGACAGTTTCCAGGCACGCAGAGGCCGGCGCTGTACAGGGGAAAAACTGCTTGGCCCTGAAAGAGAAAACAATGTTTATTTAAGACTCAACTTCACACATACCTGTTTTTCCAATCTCTACATGGCATCAGAGAAGTGAGGTGAATGTTTAGGGAGTTTATGTATCAGTACACTTTGTTCTTGATCTCTAATCTTGTCAAATAAACAAGCCCAGATGTCACAAAAGTGTCATAGTCTGCACTGTGTCTGTTTTCTTTGTGCTCTTCTTGTCTTTATTTACTTTCCTGTTCTGTCATAATTTGTCCTCTTGTCTGTAATTTTTGTGCTCATCCTTCTTTCGTTTCCTTTTTTTCTCTTCCTAGTGTTTTGCCTCCATCATGTGGTCTGTCTAAGTTACTACTCCCTCATTAAGTTCCAGGTTTCTTCACCTGTTGTCCTCCCAGCTGTTTGTCATTTTCCTTGTCAGTGTTGGTGTATTTAAGTCAGTGTGTTCAGTTGTCTGGGATCTGGTCATTTCCTCATGAAGACTTCTGCCTATTGTTTCATGTCCTTCACTACATCCTGGTTTTTGTCTCCCCTCATGACCTCTTATTATTCATGTAAGTTTTTGCTGCCATGTCAGCCCTTTTGTTTATTATTTTCATTAAATACTTTTTTTTTACTCTTTACCTGAGCTGTTTTGAGTACTCCCTGCATTTTGGGCTTCAAAACAATACTAGATCCTTACGAAAAGGGTGTGTTTGTTGGACACAAATGCAGGATAGCAGGGGAAAGATTCAAGAACAAAATTTAACTTCTAATAAACACAAAAAAGGCCTTCAGGAGAGCTTAACAAGACATGGTAGGAAAAGGTATCAGGACTTAAAAGCGACAAAGTGGAATTGTGTTAATTCCTTTTAATCTCCTTACCTTTTGTGGATAAAGGCCACAGTTTAGAGAAATATGTTTTAACACAGACAGATTGACAAGCTAGTGGTTTGAGCATGGCCAAGAACAAAGTGGACTGCTGCCATCTTAAAATAAGTCCAGGGTCAAAGGTTTTCATAGCAGTGCAGGTGAACGCTGTTTTAGAAACCTCTACATCACCAACAGTTTTCTGTCAAACAGTTTTCATTGAATTCTACTGTTTTGTACAAGTACAAGGAAATGTTGTTTGTTTGTTTATAGATTATTAATTTGTGTTAACATAAAACTTTATGAAATTTTGAACAGTGGAGTTGTTATAAGATGGCAGCCATCCACTTTAGACTTGTCCCGTCAGGATCTGTGTGTTTTTGTGTTTGGTCTTCTTGTGGGTCTTGTTTTTAGTTTACTTTGTGAGTCTGTTTTACTTGTGTCTCCAGATTACCTACAGTGTGTCTCCCCTCATGTTACCAGCTCCTCTCAGCTTCACCTGTTCACGATCACCCCAGGTGTTCATCAGTGTCTCGTTAGTGTCTCTTTAAGTTCAGCGTCATTGTTTCCTCCCTGTCTGTGGATTGTGCTTCCTCAGCAATCATGCTACTGTCCCTCAGTGCTCTTTTAGTTTGTATGTGTTCCTGTCATGACCACCTTTTGTTTTTGTATTAATATTTCTTTATTTTTACCCTCGAGTTCTCATGTCTGTCTGCACCTGGGTTCAACTCTCAACTCTGAGATTTTTATGTCCAAGTTCCTACTAGATATTTGCTCATTAATCCTATCAGACTTAAACTCAGTTTCTTCTGAGGAATTCTAAAAAGCTATTCTTACAGTTCATTACCTTCTTACAGAATCCCACTTTACAATGCCCAAACTTTCCCTTTAATTAGAGTCAACAAGATGATCTTACAGTGTCTGAAAAAATAAGTTAATATATACAGTATATGAAAGAAAAGTGACTAATGGAAAAACAAGTGCATTGATTACTAATGGAGCACAGGTGGTATGTGAGGAGCTGAGCTGTTTGTTCTATCTGAGGATATGTGTAAAAAAATTATCAGTGATGATGTTTCGAATAATATTGTAAAATATCTCAGGAGAAGAAAAACTATGGACCATCCATCCATCCATCCATCCATCCAGTGTTTAGAGAAATGCTTTTTAAACGGACCAGACTGACAAGCTAATGGATAATTGTTATTCACATTGTTTTACAGATGTACATGAACTTGTCTTTTGGTGGCTTAGTATTTAGTGTTTTTTTTGTGTCAGGCAATGAACTGTCTTTTTTTTAAATTGTAATAAAAATTTGGATTTGTGTCTAAAACTCAAAGATTTATAAAATAAATAGAATTATTGAGGATAATTACTAGTGGCAAGTTGATAGTAAAAATGGAACATCATTGAATATCCAAAAGTGCCTAAACACTTTAAAAAAACTAACCCATCAAAAGTTCACAGTTACTTATGCATATGATATTTTGGAAGGCTTCAAGAGGGCACCTTTAACTTGTAAATTAGACTGTAAATCTACAGTTAGCTGTAATGGTTTTGTTGAGTACCTTTGGTCCCAGACAGGTCCAGCCTGATTTTGAGTCGATGCCTCGCTGGTAAACAGACTGAAATTCAGTCAAGATTGTGGAGTAGTTAGCTTCCATGACCTCAATATCATGTCGGTGAGCATCACGTGGGAAAAAAGGAACACTTGGGACATCAGGCAGGAAGAGAAGATGGGGCTTCTGAATAGTAAAGAGATCGTTCAGTCTGACCTAAAGTGGGACGATAGACACATTTGTGATAATTTGTTGACCATATTTCCTTTGTTTTTATGTTCAGCTTTAAAAAAAAACATCTTAATGTCCTAAAGTCACGCCTCAGATTCCAATGAAATTCAGTGTGAAACTTTCATCATCAGTAATCGCAGCTGTCTTACCTGCTCACGAAGGGCCTTATGAATGCGGCCCATCCCCACCCAACTGTAACGTTTGGCGTACTTTTGCAGCGCTGCGTACAGCTTCTTGGCTTCTGCAGATGCCTGAGCTGGGAACAAGGCATGACTCAGCACTGGGGTGAGGTAGGCCTGTCCCTGCTCTCCATCCTTCACCATTTCCATGGAAATAAAGGGATCACTCCTGGACAGTTTGGGTCGTGCATTGCACTTTGTTCCAAAGCAGCTGCCGCTGCGGGGCATCATGGAGCGCCGCGAGCTGGACTTCAGTTTCACAGCGTGCGTGTGTCCTGGGATTGGCAGATCGGAGCCGATCCGATAACAGTGCCACAAAAACAGGAGCAGCAGAGTCCATAGAAGGCCGCTTAGTGAGTGGACACCTAGCTCCACACACTGGGGCAAAGGCAGTGTGTTCATCGACCAGTGCATCCTTTAAACTTGGGACAGTGACACTGCAAAATAAATAAATGGAGAAACTAGGATTACATATATATAAACACGAGACCCTTTTTAAAAACTTTGCCTTTAACTATTACAGGCAACTCTGAGTGTATGTTAGCAAAATATCTCAACAACCATTAGACTGAATTGAATGAAGCTCAGAAAAGAATTTTCAGAGAATGTCGGACACGTTGTGTTTAATTGTGGAAGTAATATAGAAACTGTTTTCTGTGGAGTTTCCAGTCAATTACTTGAAGTTGTTCCCACTGCCGTGATTTATTTTAAATGACTGACATTTAGAGGCTACTAGCATAATTTGAAATAAATTAATTCTGTAAAAATAATAATAATAATAATAATAATGAACATTGCCATTGCGTTGTTGCTTACCAAAAAGAGTTTTCCAAATGATGCATTTTGACTGAGCATGAATGGATTTCCTAGAAGTTGATATAAAACTCTGATCTGATCAAAGACAATTATTGTGCCAGGTTCCTGAGTCATTTATAATTTGCTTCTAAGCAAACAAATGTTTTTGAAGCATTTTAAAATTATCTTGATTGACAATGTTTCATGTTTTCTGATGGTCTGTCCTTTATTTTATTGAAAAGCTTTCTCTTGTTTTTAGTCCATGTTATTAGTATTGTTTGTTCAGTCATTCAATTCTGTTTGTGAATCTTTAAATTACACACAAAAAAATCTTGTTTAACAGGTTTTGCATCATCACATGACACAAAACTTAAATATCTCGCTCTATATATATATTTTTTTTTTTTTTTTTGCTCTTTAGACATTTTGTCTCACGCAGCCTGACAAAAATATATATTTTGTTCTTATCTATTCAATTAAATTAGCTGAAAACTTAAACTGAAGGATTGTGCATCCCTCAGGTGTGGTATCAGGTCTTTGTTTCTATTTCTTTAAAGTTCATCTGCTGTAAATGTTCCTTTAGATTTGACCCTTTGTTGTCCTCTATTCCTATTTCCTCCTTTTTAAAGCATTTGCTCAACAATATGCTGCCAAGGTCAAACTTTGAAAAACTTCCAGAGAGCTTTTTTTAATATTTATAACTTGTACAACTTAATATCTTATATTTACATATAACTTGTATGGATGTAATATGTGTACTTTTATTAGTTTAGTGTTATGTAAGTATGCATATTGCATGTGATTGATGTTTTTTTTATCTAGCCCCCTGTTGCTACCTCTTAGCCATGTTGTTGTTGTAAATAAGAATGATTGCTCAGCCAACTGGATAAATGAAGGTTAAATGAGACACTACTAACCTGAACCATATTAACAAGTCACAGTATATTCTGGCTGCTTGTAAGCAAAACATAAAAAAGTTAGGGGTGGTTTAATTTAAGCTGTATTGTGATTCATATTGTATGTGTGTTAGAAAAGAGGGGATAGAGATGCGAGTTTTAGAAGATTTGTTTGTTTGATGTTGTTTTACAAGGAGGTGTCACGAACGCATGCACATCACTGTCCACATGTGTGAATGTTTTGATGTGAGGGCTACTCCCTAACTGGCATGTTGCATCAACCTGGATGTTGCAGCCTGTTAGAAACCCAACAGGCTGCAGAAAGGCTTGATGATTCATAAACTGTGGTCGATGTTCATGCAGCAGCACTCATTTTGTTTTTGTTGCTCTGCACCAGCTCATACAGCAGCTCTGATGGCTCCATGTTTACAATCCACGTTAGCATTAAACCTCCTCCATTTCTAGACAGTCTTACCCTTTTTTTTTAATCACCCCATGCATATTATGCGGGACATGCGGGCGTTTAAATGACGTTTGCACAAGGATTACCTTGAGTCGAGCAGCTTCAGCACCGTGTCGGTGTGGACAGCTCCTGCAGCGCTCGCAAACAAAATGTGGACCAGCGAGCGGTTGCAGTTACACCGTCCGGCCGCTAGGAGGCGCCGGGCGCTCCAACAACACGGCAGCGCTCTGCTCACAGCCGAATGCGTCAACCGCCGCACGGTTACCAGCTAGAGGCGAGCTCACCGCCACAAACCCCGCTGTGTTTTCGGCCTCGAGCAACAGGATACCCACCGAGACACACGACAGAGACAATAACAAAAGAGACGACGAGGAAGGAGGAATAAAACACTGGGCTCAACCTGGAAGGCAGGTAAGCGGCGGACACCTTTTTATTGTTGCTGCGGTGATGTAAAATAAAAAAAAAATCGTCCTCCGCGCAAAGAAAGAGGGCCGGAGGGGGTGTCTCGAAAAGCCCCCCCATCATTTTGTCACTCGCAGAGGAAACGCCTCGAAAATGAGAGGAGGGGATTTTTTTTATTCTCTTTTAGACACATTGTACATGTTGGCTTTAAAATTAACACCTGGCGGCGGATTAATTAGCTGAATATTTGTGGAACGGCGCGATTTTCTTCTACGGTTTGTTGCAGATTTGGGTGGAATAAAATCCGGGGGGGGGGGGGGGGGGGGAAAATTTCAGCCACTAAATGAAGAACCTTTTTTTTTTTTCTCAGTATTTGCACAAATATTTGTATCTTATCTCGTCATGTACGGAATAATCAAAACATGCATGTATTGTTATTATTGTTATTTGGTAATTTAAGCTTTCAGCTCGAGCGGATTCGCGTCTTTTTGTGGCCTCATTGATGTAAACACTTCAGCCAGATTTTCGGGTGTCTTAAGAAATGGTTAACCATTATCACCACAGCTTTTCTTGTAATTATGGACCTTTTTAAAAGCAGCACATAACAGTCAGACAGTGATGTTTAATATTAACCTTCGCAGGTCGTTTAGTTTCACATGATGGGGTTCTCACACCTCGCTGTGATGCTGTCTGTCACCATCATCCACCTGGTGTCAGGTAAACTGTCTTTATTCTGCCATCTCACTCACAAATTGAAATTGATCAAATATTTGCACATTTCAAACGGATCTGTTGAACTGCTTGACTGCTGAGTCCTGACAATGTTTTTGTGTGTTTGTTTCCAGGTATGAGTTTTATGACTCCCAAGCCTGAGACACCACCTACGGCATCTCCAGACTCCTACCCTCCGGGCGACCTGATCCACGCAGCCCTGCAGAGCAAGGAGTACTTAGGAACAGGTACACTAGGGCGTAGATGCATTTATTTAGACCGTAGGTGAATGCTTTTTGGAGGTCACACTGAACCAAAGCCTCGGACCTTGCAGGCACCACCACCAATCCGACGCAGGCAGTGCCCGGACGTGGGCCGACTGAGTCAACAGGGATGGCAATCTCACCGGGACTTCTCACCACAGCGTTACATCCCTCCTCTGCTGCTGGTCTGTCCAGATCAAGGAACCCTCTATCCCTGCTGCCCATAGAGGAGGAGACAACCACCACTCTGATTACCACAACCACCATAACTACGATGCACATGCCAGGTATTTGATCAGTTTCACCTGACATCCCTTTATTGTAATTATTAATTGGGGGTGGGGAACTGTGCTTGCTGCAGTTATTATATCATAATGAGCCCACATCTTAAAAACTGCATCACTTTTTTTGTTCTAAACTGATTTGAAGAGGGAATTACGCACAAGGTCACATAAACGATTCATCAGGAAATATCAACAAGTTGCTGATTGGACACACAGGGTTCTTACGCAACTAGAAGAGTCTGGAAAATGCATTTGTGTTTTCCAGGTTTTAAAAAGTATTTGAAAAGAGAGTATAGAAAACCATTTGTGTTTCCAGACTATTATTTTTAATTAAAACCTGATTTTGTGCTTGTCAAATTTATAATGTATAAAATATGGACATAGAATACTCTGTGAAAATTTCAAGGCAGCTGTAGTTTTCACACTTTGCTTTCAGTTTAAATTTTATTTTATTTTATTTATTTTTTTGCTTTGTTTTATATTGCACTTTTTTATTTTTTGTTCTGGGAAGCAAACCCAAATTGAATTGTACTCAGGTGCAATGACAATAAAGCTCTAATCAAAATCTGGCTCAAGCATAAAGTATTGAGTAATTACTCAAAAGTCATATTTTTGTTTACACTGCACGATATCTTGTGACCCTCACTAAACTTAAATATTTGCTTTATACGTGCACATTTTTTATATTTTTGTTGCAGCATACTCTGCGTCTAGTGGACTATAAGTTACTCTAACCCTGAAGCAAATGCTGCTTTTTGATTTTACTCTGAATCAGAAAAAAGTTTTACAAATGATACCTCTGGAAAACACTTGGGCTGTGTATTTAGGATCATAAAGTCATTACAAAAATACTTTTTTTTTCATAAGTGTATTTTCCTGTTATTCTTTTGCGGGTTCAGTTTACTGTTTGTTTGAATGGCATACATTTAATATTTTTATTAAAATTACGCAAAAATCAAATGAAAAAACTCAAAATGTGAATCTGGAAAAATCTAATTTTTTAAAAAGGGAAAAGTGTTGGAACCCTGTTTGAAAGAAATGTTTAGTTTTTTTTTAAAAACTTTATATTAAAAAATGCTACATATTCAGTGAATACTTATCATAGTTTAATTAAATGCTTCTTGCTGTAAACTGGTCCATTTGCTATTCATTGAACTAAAATAAATAATACTGGAGTTGATATTCTGTAGCAAGTTTATTACAAAACACATTTTAGACTTCATTGTTTTTCCTAAAAGTTTATGTATTTATTTTTTTTGTCATTCTGGATTATGGCCTGATTCCAGATATTACGCTTTATTTTTTACATTTCATTGCTCATGCATTGAATCTGTGCAGGAACATAAATGGTTGTGACTAAGTTGGAATGCAGACAGTGAAGAGGAGTCAAAGATGTAGTGTGGAAAACAAGAATTTTTTTTTTTTTTGCTGTTGTTCTTTTGCTATTCAAAGTAGAAAATTTAGATTAGCTTTTAGTTTGAATATTCATAGATTAAGTGCAGCAGAATGTACTCTGTGTTAGATGAACATGTATGATGGACATTTTAAACACGTCCCACACTCTTGCAATATTCTAAAACAATGTTTCTAAAGTCTAAATGCTCTAAGAGAGCACAGAAGTTCATGATTTCAGCTCTTCATCCTCTGCTCTTTGGCGTCTGCGAGCGCTCTTGGCCACGCCCACTTCTCCACTCTGCATGCTGATCAGCTGCGGGGTACACCCTGGACAGGTTGCAAGTCCATCACAGGGCCACATAGAGACAAACAACCATGCACTCTCACTCACACCTAGGGACAATTTAGAGTTACCAATTAGCCTAACATGCATGTTTTTGGTCTGTGAGAGGAAACCGGAGTACCCGGAGAAAACCCACGCATGCACGGAGAGAACATGCAAACTCCACCCAGAAAGACCTCCGGCTGGGATTTGTTCTTGTGACCTACTCTCTGAAAGACAACAGCTCTACCATCTGAGCCACCGTGCCACCCCTCATGTTTAGGATTATAATTTTGTGTAGCTTATATTGCTCTATACTTCTGAACTATGATGACTTATTACATAGTGTAAATTTGCTGATTTAATACACCAAATAAAGTCTGAATGGGTGGTTGTGGTGCAGTGGTTGTGGTGCAGTGGTTGTGGTGCAGTGGGAGGGCAGCGAACTGGGGATTGGAAAGTCACAGATTTGATTCCCTGCTGTGGCCATATGACCTGGTGTCCTTGAGCAAGACACTTATTCCCTGACTGCTCACCGGGTGCTTAAATAGCTGCCCGCTGCTCCACTTGGGTGTATCTCATGTGTTGAATTAAGAGAAAAAATGAATTTTTATGGACTCATTCGTTGAAGACATGGCACTTGTACTTTCTCCCTGTTTGTATGGGTCCCAGGAAACAGGACTTTGTTATTGCGGGGTCCATCCCAGCAGAAGTAAGGAGCTTCAGGACATAAAACAACCCTAGAATTAAAACTGGCATTTGGGTACAAAATATATATCCCATTTTTATTCAGTATGCTTAACTTTTTTTTTTTTTTTTTTTTTTTGAAGAAAGAAAAAAAAAGCCAATTTAGGGGCAAAAGAAATCTAAACCCAGAAATGATCAAAATTTTCTGAGCAATTGTAAATTCTTTTTAATTTGTTACTATTATTATTATTATTATTATGAAGCTGTTATGATTATAGTGTTATGATTATTGTGCATTCCTTTTGCAGTGGTGAATTTGATCCATTTAAATGTCTCATAAACCTCTTGGCGAGTTTTGTGTCGCTTGGGGACACAAATGGACCTCAAGCTAATAACTTCCTAATAGCATGTCTGATCCTGAAGAAGAGTGAGGAAGATGCTGCTTCATCACTACTGACATTAAAACAATCGTGCAGCCCTGTGGCGCAGGCGTCTGTGCAGCTGCCGTTGCAAGTGAACAGGAGCTTCAGAGCGATATCAGCAAGTGCAAATGAGGGAAATGTGCGTTCAGTTGATTTGCACCCAGTGTGAGAAAAGAAACGTCATGAAGACGAATGATCTGTGACTCGTTTGTGTGTGAGAGAGAATCACCGGAGTCCTGATGGGTTTACTGGAGCGTTCACTGACGTATGTGGTTTGGTAATCTTATGCGGTCTGCATTAAACATCTCAGACAGGCTTTTTTTTTACCAAGCAGGGCCATAAAGTCATAGATTTAACTGACATTTCAACTTGTTGGAAACTGTTCTCTTTGCTGAGACGCTGTTGTGCCGCAGGATATATTAAATCTGAGGGCACAACAAGTGGTTGATTCGTTTGCTGTCAACAGGCATAAATCTGGAAACTACAGATAAACATCTAAGTGACGTTGACTGGTGGTAATAAGATTTGTCTTCTGATAGGAAGATTTTCCTTTAAAGAGACACATTATGCCCTTTTTGTTAAACTGACACGATTTCCCAAGGTCATAGTGAAATGTTAACATGTTTTGATCAAAATATAACAGAGATGTTGTTTTATTATACATTTGTGTTCCAACATGCTTCTATTTCTTTTTCTTCTGTTATTTTTTTACAGTACAATGCAACGCCTCTTTGTCAGCCATGGAGGACGTTGTCGAGTCCCCAGATCCTCCATCGTCATCACTCTCTCCTCTGGAGTGCACCTACAGTATTACTGTATATTCAGGTTATGGTGTGGAAATTCAGGTAATTCATCAGTTCTTTTCCTAGATTACTTTATTTTTCAGTACAGATTTTTTTTTTTCTTTGAACTAAATCTGAATAGGAATTTCTGAAAGAAGTCCTGAGAGCTCAATATGTACGGCAACGTGTAACTGATGGAAGCATAAAACATTAAAACAATACATTAAATTAAAACAAGACTTTATTACCTTGCACCGTGTACAAGGACAGACTTTAATTAAACAGCCAGAGGTGAAAATCATTATTCAGCTACGTTGTAAGGTGCTGAATTACCTTGGAGGTTTATTTATTAAAGACAGGCCTCATTCATCTTCTTGTTTTCCCCTCAAGGTGAGGAAGACTAACCTTTCTAAGGAAGAATCTCTGATGATTATGGGCTATGGAAGTTCGGGGCCAGAGCTGTTAGCCAACGAGACCCTGATAAAAGAAGGCCAGGTGATTCGCAGCGCAACCAATCGGGTGTCCATTCACTATCGCAGTCTCCGACAGTCCAATCATGGCACGTTCAGCCTCCACTACCAAGGTACAAACTAGAGAAATTGCATTTCCTAAATGCAGTGTGAATGCTTATTGCAGAAGAACTTGATGAAAAACAGCTGAAATTAGCTAACAATGTGAAATCTAGCAGAACAAGTCTATATTAGCAGAAGAAAGCAGAAAGAACACATATTTGTTGAATTAGATTTAAATAAACAGAAATGAGCACAAAAATGTGCACAAAAATTGCTGAAAGTATCTGAAAGGGCTGAAAAAGCTTAAACTACCAGAAGAAGCAAAAAAGAGCTGAAATTAGCTAAAAAAAAAAAAATTAAAAAAGTGGAATTAGCTGAAAAAGATAAATTAGCAAATAGCAGTTAAGTTGAAATAGCAGAAAAAGCTGAAACTAGCAGAAATATGCTGAAAGCAGCACAACAAGCTGAAGTTAGCAGAAAGAAGTGAATTGTGTAGAAAGTAGCATAAATTGCCACGGAAAATTAGAATTTATATGAAAACATCTGCAATTAGCTAAAAAATGCTAAAAAGCGTAGATGAAAAGGTAGAGCAAGCTTAAAGTAGCAAAAAAATCAGAAAGAATATGTTTGCCCAATTATGCTGAAAAAAGCTGAAATTAGCAAAAATTAGCTGAAAAGTAGTTAAAAAGGCAGAAATAATCTTAAATTACCCGATGGAAGTGGAGAGCACATTTTTGCTGAATTAGGCTGAAAAAAGTTGAAATGAGTGCAAAAAATGTGGAATTACCTGAAAAAGGTAGAATTAGCATAAAACAGCTAACTAATAGCTGAAATAGCAGAAAAAGCTGAAACTAGCCAAAATAAGCTGAAATGAGCATAACAAGCTGAACTTAGCGGAAAGAAGTTAGAAGAAGCACAAAAAGGTTCTAGTTAGAACTGAAAGGAGCACAAAACAGCGGGGGGGGGGGGGGGGACCGCTGAAATTAGCTGAAAGAGCTGTAAAGAAGTTTAAATTTGCACAAGGATGAAGCTGAACCAGAACAAAATGTGAAAGGAGCAGTAAAAGGTTGTAAACAGATTTGAAGGATGTAAAATGAGCTCAATTCATTTTCTATGAGGAAAAAAATGGCAGAAAAGGCTAAATATTTCAAAAAGCTAAAGTTGCACCAACACCAAAAGTCATTACACCCTTCCAAACGAGCTGAATGTTTTGACATATTATTTGTTGAAATAGCACAAAAATTGTGGAACGAGAAAGATGCTGAAAAACATATGGGAAAAAAATGGATCACAACAGTGTGAATGCTTCCTAAACATTCACACAATAAGATCAGATTCATGGTTCAAATTATACAAGACAGCTGACCTCATTAATTGATTCATATTTATTTATGACCAAACACTTACTAATCTGTTTACGAAGGAAAATATAGAAATCTTTCAGCTTTATTCTCTCAAATAAGTTCAATTAATAAAAGGATAAAAACAGAGAAACAAGTTTTATTAAGAATCAGAAAAGTAACAAGTCATATCACAAGGTTTTGCAGCTTTTTCATAAAAGGAAGCCCGTGATGATGCTCAGTACTGGCGTGATAAAAACGACAGACATTGTGACCTTGGACAATCTGTCTTCTATGGTGATGAAGGAACAAATGTTCCACAGATATTTATAACAGATGTGATGATCAACACCTCGTTCATTAGGTTGAGAATCTGTAAAGAAAGCTAAGAGAAAGTTGTGAAAAATGGCAGAATGCTAAATATACAAAAAAATAAGTGTAAATGATCATAGTGCATGGATTAAATGTGACCCAGTATGACACGTTGCTGACATAAAGGATCGCTTTTTGATGTTTTATCTAAGCTGTTTCTGATTCTTCATGAACAGCCTTTCTGCTGACCTGCCCTTTCCCAATGTCGCCTGAGGGTGGTGGAGTGACGGTGACAGACATCCATCCCGGAGGGCAGGCACACTTCCACTGTGATCCAGGTTACCAGATCCGAGGCCACGAGGCGGCAACATGCGTCAACACAACACAACCTCGCTGGAGCCTGCCTGAGCCTCGTTGTGTTGGTCCGTAGAAAGAACTAAATTAGTCCTGAATGCACAAATACCAGATGTTTCAGTAACAACGAGGTGGTGACGTTTAAAAAATAATTGTTTCCTCAGCTGTGTCTTGTGGTGGATGGATTCGTAATGCAACTGTGGGGCGGATCTTGTCTCCACCTCCTCCTGCTGTCAGCAACCACAGCAGTGGAAACAACCTGAGCTGCCACTGGTTAATAGAAGCTAAAGAAGGACACAGACTTCACCTCCACTTTGAGAGGATTGCACTGGATGAAGATGATGATAAGTAAGTTTGTCACTTTTTTCATGTTGCAGAAAATTATTATACGGCACAGAAACCCAAAAGAACAAACATAAGTCAAAGTCTAAAGACCACGCTGATAAAATCTTGGCAGGGAGTCTTTCAGATTTACGTGGCTAAAGTCACCAGCAACCACGTAAAATGCCTCAGGGTTGTTTGTTTTGCAGCGAGCTAATATTATCGTGCAGATCCTGCAGAGCGTCTTTAGCATTAGCATCCGGGGCTATGCAAACAGCTATTACAAACACCGCCAAAAACTCGCAGGGTAAATAATGTGGTCAACACTTCACTGTTAGCTGCTCCAAAGCCTTGGATTAGAGTACAGTTTCTGCACCAACCTTTATTTATGTAGATGCACACTCCGCCTCCCCATGACTTCCCCGTTAGCTCGCTGCAGTGGTCCGCTCGAAGAAAAGAAAAAAAAAAGCGAACGACAAATAAAGAAACTTCGACTTTTTTATATTTGTAGTCATCAATAAATAGATATCGCCTGACAACTTGCATACCAGTATTTCAAACAAATAGTCCTGTGTGGTTTGTTAGCACTCAGTGTGTGATAAAGATGACTCTCAGCTACTACCACACCAACATTTTAGCTCAGTATCTGAAAAACTGAATGAGTTATCAGCAGTTAAATGCTTGTGTTGGTCATCCTGAATTAGGTTGACTGTAAAGGTTAATTAGTTGTAGATATCCAATGATTCCTATCTAAAGGTTTAATTTAAATTTGTCCACTTGTTCGTGAGATATTTTGCTAACAGGCAGTCAAATGAACACGGACAGAACACGCAATTGTGTTTGACCTACTGATGTATTTTAAATGTCGGCGAAACGTTTCAGCACAACAACAAAAAAGAAACTGTCCAGATGACCCGATTGAAAATTGTTGGATTGTATACCTGGATTAGCGAGCATGGACTTTGGTGTTTTGAACCAGTTTGACATGACTGTCGATGAGGGAGAGGGCGGGCGCCGGAGGAGAGAGCGACCATTTTAGCACCAACATAACTGTTTTTTTCCACTTTGGAAGTAAGCTGTTGGGGGAAGAATCAGTTTCATTTGGTGTTTCCTCTGACTGATGAAGCCTTCTGGATGGAAGGTGAAATGTCTCAGAACAAAAAAAGAAACCGTCCAGATGACCTGACTGAAAATTGTTGGATGTATTTTAAACTTAAAGTTTGTTTTTTCAGTAAAAACCTTAAGATGCCATAGAAGGTTTTTTTCTTTCATTCCAGTTTGTTCAAGTTCTCTGAAGTCTGGAAAATCTTCATAAAACAAGAAACGTTTTCCAGTTTTAAACAATTAGACTGTTGCTCATGTCTTTCTTTCTCCCACTCCCTGCCAACACCCGAATGCTTGGTAAGAATTCGAAGTAATAAAGATCTTCTTCATGAAAACTTCAAATGTTTAATCTTTTAGGGAAAAAGCCAATGAAAGGAGGTTTTGTTCTACACAAATTCTGCACATCTTATTATTATCATTAATCATCTTTAACGTCTCGTGTGCATGTCTCACTCTAGCAGCGATTGCTTTACAGCTTAAGAACAGGGATTTTTTGTGCTTTGTCGATCTTAGATTAGTCGTCCGCAGTGGGAACAGTTCCCTGTCCCCGCCGATCTTTGACTCCGACCTGGACGATGTCCCAGAGCGGGGCTTACTGAGTGAGGGCTCCACGCTCTACCTGGAGCTCACAGCAGATTCCTCCTCCATTCCTCTGCTGCTTGCTCTGAGATATGAGGGTAAGCAGGAGCCTGTAGAAAACTCAGAGTGCATCCTTCCTTCCTTTTATTTTTTTTTTTTTGCTTACATGAGGGCTTTTCCAGATTCAGCAAAACCGAGATGCTGTAGCAGAGCGGCACATCCGTCTAACCTCATTATTGTGTGCTAGTCAGTACCTGAGTCAGCACTTTGTCTGAAAAGGAAAATGTACTTGTGATTCATTACAGCATTCAAAAGTCAGATAATGCATTATTTCATGCCTGCAGTCTTCCCCGGCTCTGTTGGGAAATGTGTCAGACTTCCAAATTCTTCGGTATTTTGTCTTGAATTTTTCTTGCCAGGAATGTTTTTAACTGCCTATTTTTCAGGTCATTGAGTACAGTTGTGTAATTTTTGTCAAGCAGGAAAATAACTGCACACACACTAACTGTTATTTCTTTTTTTTATTGATAGCTTTTGATGATGAACACTGCTGGGAGCCCTACATGCCCCATGGAAATTTCAGCAGCAGCGATATCTCATATCAGCTGGGAACCATCGTCACCTTCGCCTGTTCTCCGGGTTTTGTCATGGAGCAGGGTTCAGGAACTATCGAGTGCATTGACTCCGGCAATCCCCACTGGAACGACAGCGAACCCGTGTGCAAAGGTTTTTTACCAGAGTCTGTTTGTGCGTGTTTGTAAACCCCAATTAAGATGGCTGCCACAGTCAAGTGAGATTAGGAAACACAAACTTGGTCAGATTTACAGAAATGGAGCTAAACTCTGGTGTGGTAGTTGCTGAGCATGGTCGGCTTGTACTCCGAGCACTAACTGATCGCACAATTTCTGTTTTTCAAACTTTGCCTCTAACTTTGGGAATTATTTCTGTCTGACTTTTAGCAAAATAATTTATAAATAAAACGTATTAAACCTAACAAAGTTAATTCAGGTCCTCTGGAAGGATTAAAAAAAATTAAAAAAAATTGTTGAAACGTTTCGTCTTTTATCCAGATGACTTCGTCAGTTTGAGGAGCTGCACTAAACTCAGTCTTATACAGTAAATAGCACCTTCTCATAGTGGATCAACCAGTTTGTCTTCGGCATTCAGAACTAGTTGTTCACATGATAAAGGAGGACCATCAGCCTAATGGCAGATCATTAGTGCTCTGATGGCCGCTTTTGGATTAAAGACGAAACGTTTCAACAAGTTTAAAAAAAAAAAAAAAAATTCTTATCCCTCTAGAGCAGGGTTTCCCAATCCTGGTCCTTGAGGAACACCATACTCCATGTTTTAGTTGTTTCCTCCTAAGACACACCTGATTTTAAAAATGGATGATTTACCGGCTTCTGCTGAATGAGAAGAAACAATTAAACCACTGAATCAGGTGTGTTGGAGCAGGGAAACAACTAAAACATGCAGGATGGTGTTCCTCAAGGACCAGGGTTGGGTACCACTGCTCTAGAGGACCTGACTTAACTTTGTTAGATTTTTCTACCTGGATTACTGAGCATGCATCAGGTTATTTAATAAAACTTTGAAAGAGTGGTGGTTGGATGTATTGGATCTAATAAATTTATAAAGTAACTCATCAGCTCCGAGTTTGATAACATGTATCTTTTTTACTAGATTCATACACGTACCTCTCATTTTACCCAAACTATTACAGCTGAATCTATTATTAATCCATCTTTATTTAGCACTTTGTGTATTTTTGTATAAAACGAGAGGTGCATTTCATAAATATTAAAAGTCTATTTTGCTTGCGATGTGTTTGAAGCGTCAAGATGTTGTTTCCTCCCTGGCTGTGTCACCTTTCTGACATGCTGTGAAAACAGAGCAGCGGGAAGCCGGTGACTCACATAAAACTGTCTTTGCACCGAGCCGAGGGCCGCCTGAAATCACAGGTGGCACAGGTCCAACCAAGCATCACGGACAGATCAACACTCTGAAAGCCACAATATCATATTTTTGATTGCAGAAACGCTCAAGCAGCTGTCGCCCACAGTGAGTTAGAAATACGAATGGTTAGATGTTAGGAGCATGTCTCGCTCCGACAGAAAAAAACGTGACAGCTCTCAGATGGATCCACTGGTGCTTGTGAGAGCCAGTATCTGTGATTGGTAATATTTTATGAAACTCTCCCAAATAGAGTTTCTCTTTAGTCCTGCTTTCCTCATTCTCTTTATATTTGCCTGCTGTCGCTAGCAATATTGTGAAAATACAGTGGTATTCAGCACATCACTAGTAGTCCCACTGGTTCTCTTTTTAGAGCATTTTGGTTTATATTATTAATGTTTAAGTTGTAAATAGAGCCATTCTTTTTCAAGCGATTTAATTTTGATTTTCATTCTGTGATTTTTTTTCTAATTAATTAAAATGTTTAAGTTTGTAGGATGAAGCTGGGTGTATTTTAGCTCTTACTGCTGAGACCATCAGTTTGTTTGCAAAGGTCTTCTTATAACTTCAGCTATAATTTAATTTATTTTAATATTTCTTTTAAGTTGCTTCCAATGCTTTAGTTAAGTGTTTATTTCTCATCGTCCCAGTCTGAATTGTGACCTCAGCATTTCTTCTGCTGTGATCTGTAAGCTCTGTGTGGAGGGGAGCTGACCGAGGCCTCTGGTACCGTCCTGTCCCCCGACTGGCCCCAGAGCTACTCCAAGGGGCTGGACTGTGTCTGGCAGATCCACGGGAATGAGGAGAAACGCATTGAGCTGGAGGTCCAGATGTGAGTCTTTGTTTTAACGTTTTCTTCTTCTAAAGCTCATTTGTTAAAAGAACACTGTTATTTAATTTCAGATAATTAAGGTCAAAACACCCATTAGACTGACTGAAAGATAAAAATCTGTTTCACAAATCTTGTTGTCAAATTCAGTTTGGAGAGCACTTCATGTACAGGATGAGATATATGAAGATTGAAAGAGACAGAAAGATAAAAATCATGTTTTAGTTTATAAAATCATCAGCTTTTATTGATATTTCCTCTCCTCCCTCTTCGTTGTGCACAACATTAAATGATGTCAAGTTGCTTCACTTAAAGTTTTTTATTTTCTGATGTGAAAACTCTTCTTCTTGTCGTGCCTCTTTCCCAGCTTGAATATTCGCCACACCGACGTGCTGACGATCTTCGACGGACGTGATCTCATGTCTCGTGTGATCGGCCAATACTTGGGCTCCAAAGAGCGTTTCAAGGTCGTGTCTGGAGGGTCAGAGGTCACCATTCAGTTTCAGAGTGATCCAGATGATTCCAGTTTCATCCTGAGCCAAGGCTTCCTCATTCATTATCGTGGTAATTCAATCCAGAACATCCACATTTGTTACATCTAAAATTTAAATAGTTTATTTAGGGAATGGGTTCCTCGCTTACTGAAGACGAACGTATCTGTGGGAATGTTGCTTCATCTTTCACACTATTAATTTCCTGTATCTACTTCTGAACACTTTGTGCTATTTTAGAGGTTCATACAGTGTATGGTGGCCCTGAAGTTTAAATCACAACTATAAATTTAAAAGCACAGCAACATTTGAAAAAACGCAATTACATTAAGCGAAACCGGACGTGCTGGGAAAGGTGGGATGTTCAAACCATAGACATTAATATGTAGATGCCCCGTTGACTGGGTTGGCCCGCTGATGTGACGTAACTGTGTGTCCGCCATATTGAAGGAGTCAAAGCTGCGCTGTGAACAAATACAAATAGGATTTTAAAGCACATTTTAACAGTGAATTTTACGTTAATGCTCCAACTTATTTAACACTAAATTTAATGGGAAACAGGTACCAAAAATGATGTATTAAAGCTTCTTAGTTTAGTACAATAACTTTATTGATCCCACTCATCAGTAATTCATGTTTCATCAGCTGTAAAGCAGTGCACAAAACCAGAGTATGTTACACTTTAATAATATATGAATAACAATAAATGTGGATTAACACCCCTCCATTCACAAGAAATAAACATATGTTATTTTCATTTATTTTTTGGCCATTTGGAGGCAAGAAAAATCATTTTAAACACCACACATACACACAGGTTATGTACGCATACTGTTATTATTAGATATAATACCATGAGCAGACTAAAGTAAGTACCAGGTTGAATGAATGAATGAAAATTAAACGAATAAATTAATTCTGCGTAGGAATCCATTTTCCATAACTTTGACAAGTATACTCCGAAGACACTGTTATAATGGTGAAAATTATGCAGACTATGGCTGAAAAACGATCAAGAGACTTGTTGTAGCAGCACACGTACGAGGCATTTTACCGGCTCCGTTTTCCTCCTGACTCCACCAAGATGGCGCCGACGTAGGAACGCTGTTCAACGTCCAACGGGGCGCCTACATATTAATGTCTATGGTTCAAGCGCTCCGTCGTCCAATCAGCCATGTCTCCTGTTTCCCACTGGTCCCACCTCTTCTGGTTTTGTTAAATGTAATTGCGTTTTTTCAAAAGTTGTGTTTTTTAATGTGTAGTTGGGGTTTAAACTTCACGGCCACCATTAATCTACTTTTAGTTCAATCTACTACTTTTAGCTTCTAGATAACATTTTGCGACTTCTAGATTTTAGCTAGCGTTTGGGTACTCTTACATGGTCTTTTGGTACTTTTAGTTTTATATAGCTTTTCACTGTTGTCTTTGAGCTAAGCTTCTCCATTTATCGGTTCAAGGTTCTTTATTGTCATTCGCATCACATGTGGTACATGAGATGGAACGAAATTGTGTAAAAGTCCCAGTTATACCCAAAAATATAAAGTATAAAAAAGAAACAGTATGCAAGGATCTAAGATATACGCTAAACACTAATACTGTAAAATAATGTGGCAAATTAAACAGCAGCCTGAACATTTTAGCTAACAAGTTATTTGTAGTGTTAATCTATTTTAGCTTCTAGCTACTATTTTCCTACTAATGGCTTATATTCTACCTATTTTAGCTTTAGTAACACATTTTCAACTTTTTCATCAGATTTCAGTGGTCACTTAGCACTGTGCTTTTACAGAGAATGCAGTTTCTCTAGTCTAACTTTGCGTTCGTGTTTGTGTTCTGCAGAGGTGGAGCCTAATGATACCTGCCCTACCCTCCCTCAAATTGAGTTTGGCTGGATCAGCTCATCCCACTCCTCCCCTGTGAGAGGCAGTGTGCTGACCTATCAGTGCCAACCAGGATATGACATCAGCGGCTCTGACATCATCACCTGCCAGTGGGACCTGTCCTGGAGCAGCGCTCCTCCTACCTGTGTTAAAGGTGAGACTTTTTTTTTTTTAGTTTTCCCATCCCAGGTCTAAACCATAGGTGTCAAACTGATCCACAGAGGCCACCATCTTGAATGTTTTAGATGTTTGCCTGCTTTTATGTCATTTAAATGATCAGATTAACAGAACTCTGCAGAACATGATAACAAGACGATGCTGTGGATGTATTTCAAACGTTTAAATTGGGTGTGTTGGAGCAGTGGAGCATCTAAAGCTAAAAGGACAGTGGCTCCCGAGGACCACTGATCCCTGGAAGACGAGAAAAGGAAAAAACTGGGATTGGGTTTGTTCCCCTGTTGAATGAAACCGTATGAATCGTTGCTAAATGGATGCACAGTTCATTCTTAATCCAGTATGAACATCTGTTCAAAACACAGCTGAAGACATGTGTTTTTGAATTGCAACTTTGCCTTTTCAAGTAATTTTATTTCATCATTTGCTTTTATTTTCTTTGTTTTAACACCTTTGTTATAGATATCAATGTTTTATGAATACATCTTTTTTTTTGTACAGGATTTTGCTTGTTTTAAACATGACTTTGTCAATAAAGTTTACAAAGTCATCTTAAAAATGAAATAAAATACACTTACCTCCTCCCTGTGGGAGGTCTGTTCATTTTTCTTCTGGAAAATGAAAATTTGTGTAGTTTTAGCACCAGTGCAAGTTGGCGACTTGGAGTGTTCATGTTCTCCTCGTTGTCTTACATTTACCCCTCGCAGTCCAGCAGTGTCCTGATCCGGGAGAGGTGGTGAACGGCGCGCGCTCTGTGCGTCCTGAAGCGGGGTTCGCAGTTGGGACAGTTGTGCGTTTCTCTTGTAACCAAGGATACCAACTGGAAGGTCCCAGTCAAATCTCCTGCCATGGACGAGACACTGGCACCCCCAAATGGAGTGACCGCAGCCCAAAGTGTGTCTGTAAGTCCACTTTTTTCTGTTCTCAGCTGGGTTTGCCTGTTAATGTTTGTTCCTGCACTTTTAGAATGAACTGTGTTTCATTTTGTGCTTAACAGTAAAATACGACCCCTGCCCGAACCCTGGAGTCCCTGACAACGGCTACCAAACGTTGTACAAACACAGCTACCAAGCCGGAGAGACTCTGCGTTTCTTCTGCTATGAGGGCTATGAACTCATCGGTGAGGTCATTATCACATGTGTCCCCGGTCACCCCTCTCAGTGGAATAGTCTGCCCCCCTTTTGCAAAGGTAAAGATTTTACAATATTTTCATTACAGCCCTAGAACAAAGAACAGAACAGGAAATTGTTTAGAAACATTTTATTCACTCTGGATCAAAGTGGATTTAACTTTGGAGATTAATTGTTAATAATTTATTTACAAGTATGTAGGCCTGTCGCAATAAACAATAAATCAATTAATCGCATGATAAATTTAAATTATCTGCCTCATTTTCATTTATTGGCTTTATCGTTTCTTCGTGTCTCTCTTTTTCTACTGAAGACACTGGATGACAAAAAGCTCAACTCCGGTGCTCTTCACTGACCCTTCCCTTTCTCTTTTATCTTTACAATCAAGCTAAGCTAACAGGCCAACCTCGGGAAAGAAACCGGCTTGTCGAAGCTCCAAAATTCACAGTTGAAACCTGTGCCTTCATGTAAAAAGTTGGTTTTCTCTGCTAAAAGAACCTGAGAACTTGTTTACTGATTTTTTTTTTTTTATTATAAGATTTGTGTGAAAAATGCTATGCTAAAGAACTCAAACCACACCAAGCATCCTTCATTTTGAGGACCAAAAAAAAGGAATAAGAAACAGCCCATGTCACGTCAAGGGGCCTCCCTCCTATTTTTCTTAAAGAGACACGCTGCTGCTCCCTCACTATCCATCCTTCGGTTCAGACAGTCTTATATTGCCATCTGGTGGTCAAAAAAAGGTATTACACTCAAAACAAATTAACCAACATTTCTTCTTAAATTTGACAATAATTACTAATTATTGTCAAATTTCAAACAATTTTATTGTTTATGGCAATAATTTCTGAGCCAATTAATCGAGCAGCAAAATGTGTTATCGTGACAGGCCTACAAGTATGTTGATCTTCAAAGTAGTTTGGTTTTGCAAGTCATTGTTTTAGCAATGTTTTGTATTACTAGGAGACACTGAAGGTTGTATTAAGTGTATTTTATTTCTCTCAGTGGCATATGAAGAGCTTTTGGATGATCACAAATCAGAAGGTGATTTCTTATTTGTTCCCCTTTTTTTTGAGATTCTATAGGATATGTTATACAAAACTAGTATGAGAAAAAAATTTACTGGTTTAATTAGTTGTGTAATAAAAAACCTAATTTGTTTTTACAGTGTCCCAGTCTTTCAAGCCATCCCATCAGATCCTGAGTGAAAACATCGCCTTGGCAATAATTCTGCCCATCATCCTGGTCGTCCTCCTGATTGGTGGAATTTATATGTACTATACAAAGTAGGTGCTCAAACTTTCCACATTGTTAACTAGAGGTGTAGTCCCACGATTTCTCAGTAACTTGAAAACTTTTACTAAGCATTATCAAGATGCAGTCAACGTGACGTTCTCTGAAATTAGCACTTTAAGTTGTTTGTGTGGCAGCAAAGTCAGACACAAAAAAGACCACAGCAAGCTTTCCCCACCTCTCTTGCAGCCTCTAAAAGTACGTAGATGCGTACGGAGATAGTCTCTGCACCTAACGAGGTGAAGTCATGTCATCTGGACGGATTCAACAAAGAAGAATCTGTCCAGAGGACCTGACTTAACCTTATTAGATTTTTCTGCCTGGATTATTGAGGACTCTCTGTTGCACCATTCAGGCTGAGCTCAAGTTCAAATCGCACCAGATTATAAGGTGTAATATCAATGAACTGGTCTGTTTTCATACATAAGGTGCACTGGATTATAAGACTCACTGTCAATTTTTGAGAAAATTAAAGGATTTTAAGTGCACCTTATAGTCAGAACTATACGGTAATTCGTCAACTTCGAAGCTGAAAAAATAAATCTCGTTAATTTGTTTGAGTTGAGAGGACAAGAGATAAACTTTGATGAGGTGTTCATTGAGATTTCCCCCCTGCTTTCCACCCAAGTGGTTTAATCATCACTGTGTTCATCAGCGTGAGCAATTTTTCTCTCTGTGATGGGAATATTGTTATTAAAAAAACATGCAAAGGAGTTTCACTCTAATGTCCTCTTCGGTTTGTCCTGAGAATTTCTCTGACTCTGCTTGTCAGAAGAACCCATCACAGATTTATATCCATAACATTTTTAATGTTTTTTAACTTTGATTTTAAGGTAAAATGTTTGTAAAATAGTTTAAAGGTTTGATGGCTTGTGATAAAATGCTTTCATTAGAAATCAACTTGAAAAGAATATTCAGTAAACTGTTCTGGTTGATGATCATTGCCTTCAGACATCTGTAAAATGTGACAAATTTAGTTGTTTTTCTAGAAAATATGTAAAAACCAGATGGCCTTCAATCACGTTTTTTATTTCACCCCTTGTGTAAAAGAGTTTCACACCTCAGAGTTCAAAGGTCACGCAGCTGTAATAAGAGGTTAGATCACGTGTAGTTAAAACTTCATTGTAAAATCTGAATCTACCCATAAGAGATTAGGCATGAGAGTAAATTGTTCTTAAAAATAATGTTAAAAATCCTCATTTTGTCTGTGCTGAGTGTCTTGTCCCTGTTAACATCAAACCATCTCGATAGTTTAAAGACTATTGTTTTAAACATTATTTGTCTCAGTTTTTTTCAAACGGTGTCAAATAATTTGATGTGTTTGTGCAGCATTTGCAGACTAGAATGGAAGCCACGTTTCTGGAAGTCTCTCTCTCACACACACTCCTACAGTCCCATCACAGTCGAATCAGACTTCAACAACCCGCTCTATGAAGCCGGGGTAAGTAAAACATCAACTTTAACTTCATGTCACTTTGTCGCTTTCATTTGTTCCAAATTAAATTTCCGAGGTTAAAGCTGGTCTGTTCTTTTATAACTGCAGGACACACGGGAGTACGAAGTCTCCATTTGAGGAAGATCGTTTCTGGGTGAGGATTAAAACCACGGAAGCATTAAATTCTGAAAAAAAGACAAAGTCCTTTTGTATAAAAAAAAAAGGCCTCATGCCTCCTGTTTTATTTAACTCAGTAAGTTTTGTGTTTTGTCATCATTGTATATCAGGTTTGTGAAAATGGTTAATTTTGATGAGTTGCACTGAAAAGGCCATCAGCCAAATGTGAGTCCTGCTAATGAGTCTTAACTTTCTGTGTCGTCGGGACTGGTGCCTTACGAAGGGTCGAAACCTGACAAGAAATGAAACAAAATAACTGCGGGGTACTGAAACTGAAAAGAGAAAGTGTTGTAAAGAAAATCTGATTTACTTGTTTGTTTTTTCATTTCTCTTTTGTGACGTCTTTCTGAGGCCAAAATATTAGAGAGCATGGCAATACTTTGTGTCACAATCAAACGTTAGTCATGATCTTATACTTCTTCATGATGAATGTTTCTTTTTGATCATTAAGTGGTTCTTAGGATGTTTTCAAAGCGTCACAGTAAAGGGAAAGATTACCTTTATTTTCGGTCGTGAGAACAAATTTTTAAACCAACAGTCTTTTGCTTACTTTTTGCGTGTAACAAAATCACACGATTTGAATGTAAATATTATCTGACTTAATATTTGCTGAGGTGGATTAGCCTCAAATATATATAAATATATATATAAATATATATATACTTAAACCAGGTGGCAGGAGGTTCTATATTTTCATTATATACACGTAATGAAAATTCTGTGCCAAATTATGGTGTTGAATAATTTAATGTCCTTCAGTGTTTCATCTGTTGTTGGAGTAGTGTTTACAAAGGCAGTATTTATTTTTAATTTATTGCTGTTTCTGCAGTCATCACCCAGCGTCACACCACGTACCGTAACAGAAAAGGCGAATACATGAATGTCATTACGCTTCGAGCATGCACTGATTGTAAATTATATTGCCTAATGCTCTATCTCTCCATTACCATTCTAGTTACTGAAGGGTATCATTGTTTTCAAATTTGATGTTGTATGCACTCTGTCGATGAAAAACTCCAAATCTGGCTGCTTGCTGTGATGCATTCTGTATTTATTTATAAATGATTGTTTGAGCAGTGAATGTAATATATTCACTGTGCCACATGAGGGATCCTGAAGACTGTTGCTTTGTTGACTTAATTCTTCTCTTGCCATCAGTAGCATTTCTTTGCTTCATATATAAATACACTCTTTTGATGACAGTAATTCATTTGCTGAATTGGAAATAAAGTCTTTGTTGAATGGTGTAAAACGTGTGACAAGTGTGTTTATTTTCTGAAGAATGATCACTTTTTTTAATTTAACCTTTTATTAATAAAGATTAATCCCATTGAGCCTCGGGGACTCATTTACAAGAGAGACCTGATTTTTAACAGAGTGATGACAACAAAGACAACAATAGACAATCATGAAGGATGTGTATAAATTGAGAAAAACTAATTAACAAGTGAAAATCAAATGGTATTTAAAAGGAAAAGTAACAAAAACACCTGTAAGGCGGTGTAGAAAACTCAAAACAGTAACATGTCTGCATTGGGTCTTGTCACGAACTTAACTGGTTCTTAAGCCACTTAGAGAGGTCAAGGTCGAGAGCTTCAGATCTTTGTGCAAGATATTCCAGGAAACAGGAGCGGAGTAGGAGAAGACTCTTTTGCCTAGTTCAGTCCTCACTGAGGGAACACTGCAGGTAATAATGTCCTGTAGCTGCACTCATGCAGAGACATGTAGGAGGAGATGTATGAAGGCAGCAGACCAAGAAGTGATTTAAGGATGAAAATGTACCAGTGAGAGAGTCTGCGTGAAGTTAATGATGTCCAGTTAACCAGTGTAGGGTGCAGTGGTGGGTATGGTAGTTACAGCCAGTTATGAATCTTAGTGCACTGTGATAGACAGCATCCAACATCTGCAGGGTTCTTGTAGGAGCGTTCATGTAAATGTCACCATAATCAATGGAGGGAAGGAAAGTCACAGTTACAAGGTGTTTCTTAGCATTCAGAGTTAGACAGGATCTGTTTCTGAAAAAGAAACCCAGTTTATGTTTATGTTTCCTTACTAGGTTTTCCACATGGGCCTTAAAAGAGAGATGTGAATCAACCAAGATAAGATACCCAAATATTTATAGGAATCAACAAACTCAATAAGGACACAAGTTGAGGATAAAATCAGAGGAAGAACTGCTGGGACCGACTTCCTGTTTGAAAAAAACATCCCTTTGGTTTTCTTGGCATTTAGGACAAGTTTGAGACGGAATAAGTCTGACTGGATGATGTCAAATGCTGATTGCAAAAGCTGAAAAACCTTAGCAACAGTTTTAGCTTGACAATAAACAACTGTGTTATCAGCATAGAAATGTAAGGATGCATTGGGGATGCTCTGACCTACATTACCTATGTAGATTGTAAAGACAGTGGGTCCTAAGACAGAGCCTTGTGATTCACCATTATTGACTGTTAAATAACTGGAGGAAGTACCATCATCTTGTATGTATGTATGGTTAGACAAAAACTACAGGTTAAAAAGTGGAGTGAAAATTACCATTAAAGTTGTAGTATTTAATGTTTTTGAGGACCTTTTGTAAAAAAAAATAATAATAATAATCCATCCATCCATTATCTTTTACCCGCTTCTTCCATTTTGGGTCACAGGGTCGCCGGCGCCCATGTCCAGCAATCACTGTACGAGGGGCAGAGTACACCCTGGGCAAGTCCATCACAGGGCCACATAGAGACGAACAAGACAAACAACCATTCACTCTCTCACTCACACCAAGGGACAATTTAGAGTTACCAATCAAAAAAAATAAATCCACTTTTTATTAACTAGTTTCAAGGATTTCGTTGTATTGAAAGTACGGATCAGTGTTGTGGAAAAAAATTAGCAGTTGACTCTGAATGCACCCATTGATGTCTTAAAGACAACTAAATGCATTATCTACACTACATTTTATTTTCATTTATTTATTTTTTGCAATATACTAAAAATTGTTCTATGTTGATTATGCAAATATGATTTGTACTTGTGCATACTAATGTACACTAGCTATCACAAAAGCCAGCCACTTATGCCTAAATTAAAAAATCTGAATATGTAAGAAGAGAGAAACACTGTTTTTAGTGTCAGATTCAGCACAAATTAGTTTATGCTTTGAATAATCTTAACTTGTTTGTGCGAGAGGTATGTTGCAGTTTCAACTTTTGACCACTAGATGGTAGTAAATGCTTTGTAGAATTCAATAAATTCACTATAAACGTTCAAAAGGCCTTCGATAAAATATCAAACGTTTTTAAGAGTTTAATAACTTAAAGCTCGCTCAGGCCCATAAACCCCCAGCAAAGAACGAACTTTTGTAGAGATTAAAGCAAATCAGAAATGCCTTCTCCATTCTCACCACTTTTAATCAGGTAACATATTCCGCAGCTGACAGGAAACCCCTGCAATGTGTAATAAAAATGGCTGAGATTATTCACTTAATCTTTTTATCATTTGGAAGATGACACCCATCCACTGAATTAAGATCAAACAAAATGTAACAGCTTTATTGTGTATAATATGACAAAAAATTAAATTAAATTGATCCTCGAGGACTCATTTACACTAGAAACCTATTTTAAACAAAGACCACAGTAAAAAATATAACACAGTATAGCTCATTATACTTTAACGAGTTATGCATTTTAATATGTGCTCCTCTGCCTTTATGTAATAATTACAGTAATTTATTGGCGAAAACAATATGCAGTTACGCCGAATTGCCAGCAGGTGGCAGTAGTTCACTTCGTGATTGAGCGTAGAAGAAGAACGCAGCCGAAGTGTGGTTTTCATTTCCGGGTGACCCATTTAGCTTCTCTCGTTAGCGTCTGTAAATAATCAATGTTTTAAACAATGGAGAGGTCCGCTGTTAACGTGAGAATTCAGAAACTGATGGGTACTTTTCGGTTTTTCACCACAGTTTAGGCGGTACGAAGCTACGTATAGGTCTTGTTTTAAAGCGCATTTTGTTTTCTACTAACATCAGGGGATTGCGGTTAAATATTGTCGAAGCTGCCGATTTGTTATTTTTGCTCTTAGCTCGTAAGCTATCAGTGTTAGGTTTAATACGTTTAGCTTTCTCTCTCGCAGAAACTTTGGATGCTCAGAGTGGTAAGTAGAAACTGATAGAAGCTTAGCTAACATCATAGATAATCTTTATTTGGCAGATGTGTTATTTGTATTACGTTCTACTTCCTATATACTCTACCTGACTGTTTCTTAGAAGCTTCCAATCAGTTTACAGCGTATTTTATTGTAACTAAATGATGAACTATGTTAATGTAAACGCAAGTGTTCTCAATAATGTTTTGCATCTCAAACCTGCAGCCTTCATGTGATCTCCATGCTTTGCTATTTGTAGTTGAGTGGAAAAATGAGCCATAAGGACAACAAAAAATTATGTTATTTTTAGCTAAAAACATGGAGTGAAGGACTTAAAAGTTTGTTAGGGTGAAAATATGCATTATCTTATATGCTCTCAGTTTTCATTCATTTTAAACACAGTCAACATCCTTAAAACTGCAAACCAAAAGTTTTGAGTACAGGTTGTAAGTACAAGTGTTCATGCCTCTCGTACATAAAGCTGCTGGTTTGTATAAAAGTAGCAAAGTCCCACAAAATAACTAGCATTTAGCCTCATCAGCATACAGTTTTATCAATGATTAAGCCCAATGTCATGCTCAGATGTTTTACATCTGAAGTCATTTCTGTTTTATAGTTTTTACTTGGAAATGTTATTGTCTGGGTGGGGCCAACACATGCTTTAACACTCTGACACTCCTAGAACACTACTGGACAGATGAAATGATGATTGTCTTAAAATATTATCCTTATATGGTGTTTTGACAATAACCACAGTGTTCAGTTTTTTTGAAAGCAATGTCTTATGATCCATTCTTTGTTTTTTTTTTCATGCTGATAAATCCCCTCAGAGCTGCCAGATTCTCTAACCATGACTCACAGAGGTCTAGAAGAAAATTAAATTTAGTTATAAATCTGAATAGAACTTAAAATAAGTACATTTAGATTTAAAACAAAACACTCAGGTGGTAAAGGATAATCGTGGCTCCATGTTTGCAGTAAACAAGTTGTCATGTTATTGTGTGTTTCAGTCAGGAACTGACTCCACAGCTCCATGTCTGCGGAGGCTTCAGTTGGCAGTCATGCTGCCGACTCTACTGATCCCCAGCCCATGTGCCACAACACAGACGGGCCCCGAAATCCAAATATGTTGGGGAGCAAGTACGTCAAGTTAAATGTGGGCGGCTCACTGCATTATACAACCGTCCAGACGTTAAGCAAAGAAGATAGTCTGCTGCGAAACATCTGCACTGGAGGGACAGATGTCACCGTAGACTCCGAAGGTCAGTTTGTTGACCACTATCTTGAAAACTAATGATGATATTTGAAATATTACCATGATACTTGGAATATATAATTTAAAAAAATTGTCACAATGTTGCACTTGAAAACTTCTTCTTTACTGAATACAATGCGGCTTTAGTTTTACAATAAATATTACCCCACCTCTTTTTAAAAAAAGTATTTCAGTTCAAAGAATTTGTATGAATTATTTCCACTCAGCAGCACAGTTCAACTAACTTGTAACTCAGAACTTCAAAGATGAGTTGTGATGTGAAAATGTCAAAAAGAAAAAGAGCTTCAATAATCAGAGGCCAAGCTTTAATACTAACTAACGGTGTACTATAAATAATGAATCAGAAAGAGGCAAAATCTGAGTCATATATTGTTTGTTTACTACAAGACTTGAATAGTGGGAGCTAACAGCCTCCCATTAAAATGTATATTTTGTGCATTTGTGCGTGTGTGTGTGTATTTGTGTTCAGTTTAAGGCAGATTTTGGTAAAGAAAAGCCCTGAAGCGCTTACCGGAGCTGATAACTGAATAGTGATTTTAGTTAAATGGTCAGTGGTATTTGAAAAAACATTCTTAGATGGATGTCTTTTCAACGTTTGAACTGTTAACAATCAGCACATTGCACCAAACGTGATTGGTGAATAGTTTTATGTAATCAAATGACAAGTTTTTTGAAGTTATTGTAAACCTAAACTTGTGTCTGATTGAAGTGAAAGGAAAATTACTGATCGACTAAATATTCCTGCTGTCCCAGGTTGGGTGGTTTTGGATCGGTGCGGCCGGCACTTTGAACTGGTTCTGAACTTTCTGCGAGATGGTTTGGTACCGCTTCCTGAGGATTCCAGAGAACTAGATGAAGTCCTGAAAGAGGCCCAGTTCTATCGCGTACAGGGACTTGTGCAGCACTGCCTCAGTGCCATGCAGGTAAATAAATGGATGGTAGAAGACTCAATTACTGAAAAACAAATTGGTACATATATATTCTAAAGAATCATCTGTGTCCTTGAAATTTCACATTTATATCATTACCAGGAATAGAAGATCTGATCACTTCTCTTCTTTTTTTAACATACTGGTAATTTAGTAGTTCCAGATCAAAGCCATTAATTCAACAGTCATTTCAGAACCTGTTAAATCACCTCCTTGTTTATTCAGCCTTTAATGGAAACTGAAAAGTGAGCAGCAAATAAAGATTCAAAACACATTTTTGTTGATACAATACACTTCAACAATCTTTTGGTCGTTACAAAATGTTTTTATCTGGAATTGTTACTAGAAGTAGCATATATACCTATGAATGTTTAAACTATAAACTACTTTTTTTACTCCTTTCTGGAGTTTTTGAGGGATTTATAAAAACAAAAGCAGTTGATGCTCTGGCTTTAAATTAAATAGGGACTTTGAGCAATATATATAGAAATTAAGCAGTGGTTTTGTGTGGATATTTCTTATCAGCTTAGTGATGCTTTCTTTAATTTATTTGTCACTGTAAGAAAAAAGAATGGAGCAAATCTTTTATCTTTTTTTTTTTTTTTAGAAACAAAAGGATGTCCTAGAGAGTGTGTGCCGCATCCCCATGATCACTTCAGCCAAAGAAGAGCAGAGGATGATTGCTACATGTAGGAAGGTAAATTACACTGAATCCAAGTCAAACAGAAGACAGAACCAAAGTGAAAAATGTTACTTTTCCTAAATAAATTTAACGCTCGTTCTTTTTGTGTAGTTACATTTTAAAGCCCATTTTAAAAAAACAGTGTTTATCACATTTTATCTTTTGTTTTTTCTTGTTCACAGCCTGTAGTAAAGCTGCAAAACAACAGAGGAAACAATAAATACTCTTATACAAGGTAAATAGCTTGACCAAGTGTGTAGCTTAGAGAAAGTATGAAAAATTGGTGTTTTAAAAAAATCTTTTTTTATCGTTTTATTTTTATGTTTTGTAATTTCTGTAGAAAAATATGTCGTAATCTATACGGATTTTAATCCCATCACCTCTTTGTTGTTCTGCAACCAGCAACTCGGATGACAACCTGCTGAAGAACATCGAGCTGTTTGACAAACTCGTGCTTCGATTCAACGGCCGTGTGCTGTTTGTCAAAGACGTGCTCGGGGACGAGATCTGCTGCTGGTCTTTCTACGGTGAAGGCCGCAAGATTGCAGAAGTGTGTTGCACTTCCATCGTCTATGCCACGGAAAAAAAGCAGACGAAAGTAAGCATCAAGCAGCTAGGGAGACGCATTTAGACACTTTCTGACCGAAGTAGCGACCATTTATCCTAAACGTTTGAAATTGAGGTAAAGATTAGTCTAACTTTGCCCACAATCCTCTGAGAGCTGGGAGGGGGGGTTACATTTCCTTTCTCTAAATTAAAAAAAAAGTATTTCAGTTATAGGAAGGTCGAGCAATCCTTGAAGCAACGCATATCGCCCGCCGTCTCTTATGCCAGAGTTTTGAACTAAGATCTGATGAGAAATGATTAGAGCCCGACCGATATGGAAATTTTGACTATCACCGATATTGGGCGGGGCGGGCTAATGCCAATAACCGATATGATGTCTGAACATTTTTTATCTCTGTCCAACCCCAAGAATCTAAGTAAGCAGCTATTTTTAAACCTGTTTTAACACTTTTGAAGTCTTGAAACAGTCTTCCTAATGTGCATTCACATTTTCTATCCTCCACTATTCATCATAAAGTTATCAAGTGTGTTGTATAAATGTAAATTATACAAAGAAAGGGTCTTCCCTGCTCATTGTTTAAACAGTCATGTATGGTGAAGGTCTAATCAGTATTGACCACAGCAGCGTGTTTTGTTTGTTTGTTTGTTTGTTTTTGCAGAGAAGTAAAGATTTCAGACAAACTATGCATTTCATTGAGGACGTCAAAGATAACGTTACTAACACTGATATATTTTACCTCTACGATAAATGTATTGTTCTGTGAAGTTTTACAAGGCAATAGCCTATGCTAGGTTCTCTAAACGTTAGCTTGCTAACTTGAGAGGCACGTAGCTAATGACAAGCGGGTTGGAGGATTGAAGAGAATTTTTCATTGTTGATTTTTTTTATTTAATTTTATTTTACAGATCACTTACAATAAACTTACCATGCTTCAGCAAAATATGCTCCACAGTATTTAGTCGCTCCCTGCTTCGACTGTTCTGTGTGTAGTGTTCAGCGTGGCCATGACTTGCATGCGCCCTCTGCTGGATACATTGTACAATTACGCCTTGTGCAAGTAAGGACACTGTTGGTTCCCAGCATTTTTGGGGTGAAAATTAGAAGTATTTATATCAGCGTTTAATGGGCCAGTTATCACTGATGCCAATATGTCCCCAAACGCTTATGTTAGCCTAAAATATCGGCCCAACCGATGTATCAGTCGGGCGCTAGAAATGATAGCTATAGTCATTTTGGTCAAACCTTCTAAATGAAGTTGTGCACAGTCTCATGCGATGTTTTGAGAACATGGAGATCTGTTAGTGCTCAGCGTATGCGTTAAGGATGACACTCCGTTACACCCATGGCAGATTGTAGAACAGTACTGGTAAATCTGACTGGTAAAGACTTTTTGTGTTTGCTAATGTTTATTAGCATCTGCAGCCATCTTGAATTAGGTAGGTTCTGATAGTTAATCATAATTTGTGAGATATTTTGCTAGCACAACACACAAACACGGGCACAAGCTAAAAGATTAGTATTCTTTTACCTTTAGCAGTATAAGCGTGACATTTTGATAATTACTATTAAACCATTCACTTCGATAATCTGCACAGAATGAACCGTTTGCTGTGTTTTTAGGTTGAGTTTCCCGAGGCGCGGATATTTGAAGAAACGCTCAACATCCTGATCTATGAGGACAACAGGAAGTCAGGTCCAGGAGGGCTACATCTTTTAGATTCATCACTGGGAGCCGGTCACTCGGAGGAGGAGGGCGCCACGGGAGGGGACAGACGGGTGAGACGGATCCACGTCAGGAGGCACATAATGCATGATGAGAGAGGACACGGTCAGCAAACTGTGTACAAGGACTAACTCTGTGAAAATAATCATAAAGCATGGGAGAGTGGTTGATTTAGCTATTTTAGTTCTTTTGAACGCTCGCAGAATGAAAGATGTCCTTCAGAGCAATAGCTTGGTCTTTTTCTATATTGTCTTTAAGCACACGTCGAAATCTGAGGGTTGACTGATCTCGTGACTGAAGTTAGAGAAAATGTTTACAAGAAAACAAGTTGTGTACGTTCTTTGGATAGGAAATAAATACGTTAACTGTGACTGAAACTGAGATATTATTTCAGGTGTTTAAAAAAAACTTTCAAAAAGTTACTAAATGGTCCTTAAAATTCTTGCTCCAATCTTGATTGATCTTTATTTGTGACACCTTCTGTTACTGTGGGTACGAATTGTGTGGCAGCTTCCTCTTCATCTGTAGGAAACTCTGTCAGTATTTATCCAGGCTGTCAAACATCTGAATTTTATGTTTAGAGGAAAAGAAGATCTTACTGAACAGTGACTGACTGCGGTGGGTGAGGCCGAGCCTCGACATGTTAACACTGGAAACAGACAGAAAAAAAGCCATTTTATTGAGCGTGTTTTTGAAGGAGCAGCTCAGTTTTCTTTATTTAAATTATTACAATTGTTGCTTCAAGTTGGGTTTTTTTTATTATTATTATTATTATTTGAATCTAATTTATTGTTTGATATTTAACATTTTGTATCAAATCAATGTTTGTGTTGCGTAATGTTTAAGTGACTTAATTCTGCAACTGTTTGATGCGCTCTACAGCACAGATCCCATTTTAAAAATATGCACCTGTACGTTAATAAATAATAAATCTACACATAGTTTCACAATTAACTGTGATCATTTTCTTGGTGAGTTATTCTGAGCCATGATCTTTAACTTTTGCTTTGTCTTTTACCAAATACCAGAATATTGACTACATATTGAGCCTTACAGTCACTAAAAATGTAGAGTGGACTTGATTGCATTTGTATTTGCCTCAGGGAGAGGATAAATCTTTGTTTTTTTTTTCAATATTCACTGGTGATGCGTAAACCTAAGCAATCTAAATAGCAGGAAGGAGAAAAAACATTGAATGGGAGCTACATGTTTGCCAGGCTTGTGTTTGATCCTTAAAGATGCAATAATGCAACTTCCGTCCTGTGGTCTTGGAAACGTTCTAAATAAACTGCTTATAAAATCAATGTCTCTGTTTAATTTTTGGTTTTGCAGTAATTACAACAACAACAAAAAACTGGTACTTTGCAGGAATATCGTACTTGGACAGTGTGTGTGCTGTGAAACACAGAAATGTTTGGATATTCAGCATGAACAAATAGATTATTTAATCAAGAATTTTAATTTGCATTAACAATGTTTGTGGGAAATTGTTCACGTTTGTAGATTTAATGCAGGACACTTGAGAAATCTTAAATTTATCATTTTGGTATAAAAACAATAAATGTGTTATTGTGATCACAATAATTTTGATTAAAAAAAAATAAAAAAATTTAAGTTTTATTTAGTCTGGGGAATCATAAACCCTTTTAAGGATTATTTTATTTTTGATTATGCCTATAAACTAGATTAAACAAAATAAACTGTCATAAAAAAGCATCTTGTTTTGTTGGGGACATTTTTTTTATCCCAATATGTTTATAAAGGTAATTCAGTTTGACCAATAAGTTCTAGCCTTGCACCTGTACTTTAAACAAAGTTTGATGTTGCCTATATTTATTTTGTCCACGTAAAAAAAAAAAGGCAATTTAAGGGAAGTGTATTTTTACTCCTATTCATGTGGAAATCAACATTTTAGGTGCTGATTTGAACACCAGTGATTAAAAATACATTGAATTATTATAAATCAATTTATTTTCATTCAACCTTTATTTATACAGGTTAATCCCACTGAGCCTCAGGGACACATTTACAAGAAAGACCTGAATAATAATTAATATAAATTATTATAAATTTAGCCTTTTTTTGAAAATCTTTATATATTAAATTTATAGTTTTTAAAAATTATAGAGTCATATTTATTATAAATCTAAACTCGGTTCGTATTGTTGTTGTTTTTAGGGGGCGTGGTTTTACTGCGTAATTTCCTGTTGTGTTCACGGACCCTCCCGCCAAAGAGAAAAATGCCCAGTGTTTAAAATGGTGTCAAATAAGGAGACTGCGGGTATCCGCAAGTTTATTGTACAGCAACTTCGAGATGAACCAGACTTAAGGTACATGTAAAGCCTCTATGTCAAGACTGATTATCTATCATGTGTCCGCTTATAAAAAAATAAAAACACGTTGCACTTTTCCCGTGTCCCAGTCGTGTAAATGAACGCGACATTTTAGGTAAACGTTTAAGAGTTTTATCCACTTTAGCGTCTACATCGAGTTAAATCTTCATTTAGGAGCACAAAGTGTAACCCGAGGCTTATTTACCGACTGACTAAATTTTAATTTAAACATACCAGCTGCATTCTGACCATTAAATAGTTCAGAGGCATTTACAGCAAGTGGCTGCATTAAGTTTTTCT